ACTCTCTTCCAACAACACAAGAGAAAACTCCATACATGGACATCACCAGATGGATAATACTGAAGTCAGAATGATTGTATTCTTTGCAGCCAAAGAAGGAGAAGCTCCATAAAGTCAGCAAAAACAAGACTGGGAGCTGACTGTGGCTCAGATCATGAGCTCCTTATTGCAAAATTCAGGCATAAATTGAAGAAAGTAGGGAAAGACACTGGACTACTCAGGTATGACCTAAATCAAATCCCTTAGGATTATGCAGTGGAGGTGACCAATAGATTCAAGGGATTAGATCTGGTAAACAGAGTGCATGAAGAACTGTGGACAGAGGTTTGTAATATTGTTGGCAAGACCACAGGAAGTGGTGACCAAAGCTGTCCCCAAGAAAAAGAAATGCTTCTTGCAAAGGCAAAAAGATTGTCTAAGGAGGCTTCTATTGTGGTTCAACTGGTAAAGAATCTGCCTGCAATATGGGAGTCCTGGGTTCAATCCCTGGGTTGGGAAGATCCCATGGAGAAGGGAAAGGTTACCCACTCCAGTATTCTGGCCTAGAGAATTCCATGGACTGTATAGTCCATGGGGTCGCAAAGAGTCGGACATGACTGAGTGACTTCCACTTCCACAAGGAGGCTTTACAAATAGTTGATTAAAGAAGAAAGGAGTTCCAGAGAATAGCAAAAAGAGATGAGAAGGCCTTCTTAAGTGAACAATGCAAAGAAATAGAGGAAAGCAATAGAATGGGAAAGACTGGAGATCTCTTCAAGGAATTGGAGATACCAAGGGAACATAACATGGAAAAATGGGCACAATAAAGGACAGAAATAATATGGTTCTCACAGAAGCATAAGGCATTAAATAGAGGTGTAAGAATACACAGAAGAACTATACAAAAAAGGCCTTAATGACCTGGGTAACCATGATGATGTGGTCATTCACCTCGAGTCAGACATCCTGAAGTGTGAAGTCAAGCGGACCTTAAGAAGAATTACTGCGAAAAAAGCTAGTGGAAATGATGGAATTTCAGCTGAGATATTTCGAATGCTAAAAGATGATACTGTTAAAGTGCTGCACTCACTACTGTCAACAAGTTTGGAAAACTCAGCAGTGGCCACAGGACTGGAAAAGATCAGTTTTCATTCCAATCCCAAAGAAGTGCAATGCCAAAGAATGTTCAAACTACTGTACAATTGCACTCATTTCAGTGCTAGCAAGGCAATGCTCAGAATCCTTCAAGTTAGGCAGTACATGAACCAAAAACTAACAGGTGCACAAAACTTAATTTAGAAAAGGCAGAGGCACCAGAGATCAAATTGCCAACATTCATTGGATTATAGAGAATGCAAGGGAATTCCAGATAAACATCTATTTCTGATTCATTGACTATGCTAGAACATTTGACTGTTTCAATCACAACATACTGTGGGAAATTCTTGAAGAGATGGGAGAACCAGATCACCTTACCTGTCTCCCAAGAAACATGTATACAGGTCAGGAAGCAACAGTTAGAACGGAACATGGAACAACAGTCTGGTTCAGTATTGGGGATGGAGTATGACAAGGCCGTATATTGTCACCATGCTTATTTAATTTCTATGCCAAGTACTTCATGTGAAATGCCAGGCTGGATGGATCACAAGCTGGAATCAAAATTGCAAGGAAGAAATATCAACAACCCAGATAAGCAGATGATACCACTCCAATTCAGAAAATGAAGAGGAATTCTTGATGAGGGTGAAAGATAAGAGTGAAAAGGCTGGCTTAAAAATGATCATGGCAAACAGTAACATCACTTCATGGCGAATAGATGGGGGAAAAAGTGGAAGCAGTGACAAACTTTATTTTCTTGGACTCCAAAATCACTGCAGATGGTGACTGCAGCCATGAAATTAAAGGACATTTACTCTTTGGGAGGAAAGCTATGACAATCCCAGGCAGTGTGTTAAAAAGAAGGGATGTCTCTTTATTGACAAATATCCATATAGTCAAAGCTATGGTTTTTCCAGTAGTCGTGTATGGATGTGAGAGTTAGACCATAAAGTAAGCTGAGCACCAAACAATTGATGTTTTTCAACTGTAATGCTGGAGAAGACTCTTGAGAGTCCTTTGGGCTGTGAGGAGGTCAAACTAGTCAATACTAAAGGAAGTCATCCTTGAATATGTACCATAAGGAGTGATGCTGAAACTGAAGCTCCAATACTTTGGCCACCTGATACAGTTGACTCACTGGAAAAGATTCTGAGGTGGGAAAAACTGAAGGTAACAGGAGAAGGGGGTGGCAGTAGGTGAGACTGTTAGAAAGCATCATCAACTCGATGGACATGAATTTGGGCAAACTATGAGAGATAGTGAAGGACAGGGAAGACTGGTATGCTGCAGTCCATGGGTCACAGAGTCAGACGTGACTTAGTAACTGAACAACAATAGCAAAAAATAATATGGAATTTTATATGAAATTTGATAATTTATTAAATAACTTATGTAATGCTTTTCAGTGAAGTTAATTTTCACTCTTCCTTTTATCTTGCTTTTTGTACATATCTTTATTCATAGATTTTTTTGGTGCTGTACTTTAAAATTCAGCTTTATAATGATAAAGTTTTGCAGCATTGTCATTTATCAGTCAGTCTCAGAATGTACAAGCCTCTTTAAAACAATTGTAGACCTAATGCCCCAGAACACAATTGCCCTTATTTTTGTATCCATTCACTCTGTCTGTGTCTTTTTTTTGGGAGGGGTTTTAATCCATTTATGTTTGAAGCTATTACTGATATATATGCATCTATTAGCGGGCTCCCCAGATGGCACTAGTGGTAAAGAATCCATTTGCCAATGCAGGAGATGCAATAGATGTGGGTTCAATCCCTGGGTCAGGAAGACCCCCTGAAGAAGGAAATGACAACCCACTCCAGTATTCTTGCCTGGAAAATTTAATGGATAGATGAATCTGGAGGGTTATAGTCCATGGGGTCACAAAGGGTCAGACAAGACTGAACACATAGCAAATGCACTTACTGTCATTTTCTTAATTGCTTTTATTTTGTTTTTGTAGGCTTTTTTCTTCCTTTGTGTTTCCTGCAGAGAGAAGTCCCTTCAGTATTTGTTGTAAAGCTGGGTTGGTGGTACTGAATTCTAATTTTTGCTTGTCTGTAAAGCTTTTGATTTCTCTATTTATTTTGAATGAGGTCCTTGCTGAGTAGAGTAATCTTGTAGGTTTTTTCCTTTCTTTTTCTTTTCTTTCTCTGGGACCTCTGTAATTTGAATGTTGGTGTGTTTAATATTGTCCCAGAACTCTCTGAGACTATCTTTAATTCTTTACATTCTTCATTCTATATTCTGCTCTTCAGCAGTTATTTACACAATTCTGTCTTCAAGCACACTCACCCATTCTTCTGCCTCAGTTTTTCTGCTTTTTATCTTTTATAGAAAATCTTTAATTTCAGTTATTTTGCCGTTCATCACTGATTGCTTGCTCTTTATTTCTTCTAGATCCTTGTTAAATGTGCTAAATGATTCTTGCATTTTTTCCATTCTATTTTTGAGACTTTGGATGATTTTTACTATCATTACTTTGAATTATTTTTCAGAGTAGTTTGCCTGTTTCCTCTTTGTTCATTTGGTCTTGTGGGTTTTTTCCTTGTTCCTTCATCTGCACAGTATTTCTCGGTCAGTTCATTTTGTTCAACTTACTGTGTTTGTGGTCTCCATTCCTCAGGCTATAGGGTCACAGTTCTTCTTGGTTTTGGTCTCTGCCCCCATTGAACATTGTTGGTCCAGTGGATACTGTCAACTTTGTGTTGGAAGGGACCTGTGCCCATATTCTGGTGGGAGGAGGTGAGCTTTTTCCCGCTGATGGGAAAGATCATGTGATGTGGTGTGTTTTGGGGTGTCTTGCATCCTGTCTGTGATAATTTGGTTTATATTCCTGTATTGTTTGTTGTTTTGGTGAAGCATCCAGCACTGGGTGCTGCAGGCACTTGAGCGGTACTGGGTGTTGGATTTGAGTGGAGAACTTTGTGGGAGTTCTCACTGATGAATACTCCCTGGGGTCAGGAATTCTCTGATGGCCTAGAGTCCTGGACTCAACAACCCCACCCTAGAGGCTCAGGCCCAACTTCTGATTAGGGAAGCAAGGCCGCACAAGCAGTGTGATATGGTGATAAAGGGGATTAGCACAAACAGGCAAAGCAGGAGACAAAACGAAGCCACAAATGATAAAAGCATAATCAGACAGATAGAAATAAAAATAGAGGAATGCACACACACACACATGAAACCAAAAGCCTCCAAAGAAAATAAAGTATAAGAGAGTGACCCAGCTAGCAAATGAAACAAAAAATGCTCTCATCAGTTAAAAACAAAGCTAAGTAAAACACAAAACAGAAAACAAGAGACTAGAGTGTCAATTGAGGAATAAAGCAAAGAAAATGAAAGAACTAAACATGGTGAAAAATAGAAAAAATAGAAAAACAAAGATAAATAGACATATATAAAAGAGATTTATACACAATAAAAGGGGAAGCTGCAAGAAGAAACAAAAACTAAAAAAAGAAATACAAAAAGCAAAAACAGAAAACCACAGAAAGCCAAACTAGAAGTAGAAATATATAAAATAAATAAAATGTGTGATTAAAAATAATTCCCAAAAGCCTAAATAGGGATAAAAATAATAATGTAAACAGCAACCAAAACAACAAAGAAAAAAGAATAGAAAAAAAAAAAACAGAACCAACTGCAAAGCAAATCAAAACATAAAAAATAATAAATGTGAGCTGTATGTGTTTCTATATTGCTCAAACTGTGTGTGAACCTGGAAATCAGAGTCTGTTGGTAAAAGCTTTATTTTCTATCTCTGAAAGCTAGTTAGTTTCACACTAGAAGTGACTTAAAAACTCTGGATGGAGCAGGCCGGCGAACGGGAGGGAGGGAGGGAGGGGCGGGCGCCGGGCCGGGCCGGGCGCGGGCGGCGAGGGGCTCGGAGAGCGGCGGCCCCGGCCCGCGGCCCCACCATGCCCCAGCTCGGCGGTGGCGGCGGCGGCGGCTCAGGAGGCGGCAGCGGCGGCTCGGGCGCCGGGGCAGCCGGCGGAGGGGACGACCTCGGGGCCAACGACGAGCTGATCCCCTTCCAGGATGAGGGAGGCGAGGAGCAGGAGCCGAGCAGCGACAGCGCGTCGGCGCAGCGGGACCTGGACGAAGTCAAGTCGTCCCTGGTCAACGAGTCGGAGAACCAGAGCAGCAGCTCGGACTTGGAGGCGGAGAGGCGCCCGCAGCCCGCCCGGGACGCTTTCCAGAAGCCACGGGACTATTTCGCCGAAGTGAGAAGGCCCCAGGACGGCGCGTTCTTTAAGGGGCCCCCCTACCCTGGCTACCCGTTCCTGATGATCCCGGACCTGAGCAGTCCGTACCTTCCCAACGGACCCCTGTCTCCCGGAGGAGCGCGCACGTACCTACAGATGAAATGGCCGCTCCTCGATGTCCCCGCCAGCACCACAGTCAAGGACGCCAGGTCACCATCGCCAGCACACTTGTCTTTTTTAATGTCCCAGATAAGAATGCCTTCCTAAGTGATCAATGCAAAGAAACAGAGAAAAACAATAGAATGAGAAGACTAGAGATCTTTCAAGAAAATCAGAGATACCAAGGAAACATTTCATGCAAAGATGGGCACAATAAAGGACAGAAACAGTATGGACCTAACAGAAGCACAAGATATTAAGAAGAAGTGGCAAAAATACACAGAAGAACTCTACAAAAAAGATTGGTGATAGACAGGGAAGCCTGGCGTGCTACAGTCCATGGGGTCACAACGAGTCAGACACTACTGAGCAACTGAACTGATTGAACTGAATCTCCCAGAGTTTCTTAGCCTTTGTTTTTCCTGACCTTGACTCTTTGGAGAAGTACAGACTAGCTATTTTGTGGAACATCCCTCCATCTGGCTGTATCTGAGATGTCCTCGTGGTTAGATTCCGGTTGTGGGTTTTGGCAAGAACACGACCACATTCAGGTGTCCCTCTCAGGGCCTCACTTCCCGGAGGCAGGTCTGTGATGCCTATTTGTCCTAATGTCAGTGATGTTGGCTTGGATCATTTAATTAAGGTGATGTTTGACATGTGTTTTCTCTTTGAGGTTATTCTTTCCTTTTGTACTTAATAAGTCACTCTGTAGGCAGAGGCTTAGAAGCTGCATAAATGTCCTATTTCTTATTAAAAAAAAAAAAACTCTTTGGATGCCTTTCTATTATTCAGTGCAACACTTTCTTTAACCTAACAAGTGATTTTTCTGAATGAATCAGGCTGCTGGAACTCCTTGTTAGGAGATCAACTCAGAGTCCATTTTACCTAACCAAGTTAATTATAGCTAGAGTACTAACTAGTCACAGAAGCTCTGTTCAAAGCACTGTTCACAAAGAAGGACCCATTGTGTCCTGTTTGAGTCTCTACACTGCTCAGAAACATGCTGCATGAGAATCTTGAAATCTGAGACTCTTGGCAAAGCTGTATTTAGTGCCTCTGAAAGCTAGTTAGTTGTAGACTGAAAGTTCCTTGAAAAATGCTTTGGCTGTTGTTTAATTCAGTTCCACAACTTCCTTAGTCTCACTCTTGCATTTTTTGAAAGAAACAGTTTTCTTGGAACCTTGTTAGGTGGTCATCTCAAAGTACATTTTCACCAAACCAGATTAGTTATAGTTAGAGTACTAACTATTCACACAACTCTCTGATGAAAACAGTGTTCGCAAAGAAGGATCCACTGTGTCCTGTTTAAGTCTCTACACTGTTCGGAAACATGCTGTGTGTGAATCTTGAAATTGGAAACTCTTGGTTAAAGCTATATTCTCTGCTTCTGAAAGCTAGTTAGTTGTAGACTGGTTAGTTGAAGAATACAGGTTGTTTTTGTTCTATTCAGTTCAACCACTTCCTTAGTCTAACCCTTGAGTATTATGTAAGGAACGGGCTTGGAAATAATTGTTAGGAGGTCCTCTCAGAGTATATTTTCACCGCAGGTTAGTTATAAGTATACTACTAAATAGACACACAATTCTCTGGTCAAATCAGTACTCTAACTGAAAGAACTAGGAGTCTTATTTCTGTCTTTGCATTCATTCATAAGGAACATTCTGTGTGTGAACAATGAAATCAGAGATTCTATGATAAAGCTGTTTTTTTTGTTGTTGTTGTTGTTTGTTTGTTTGTTTGCCTCTGAAAGCTTGATAATCATAGAATGAAAGTTAGTTGGAAAACACTTTGGTTGCTTTTGTTGTATTATGTTCAACAATTTTCTTAGACTAACCATTGTGTTTTCCTAAAGAAACACACTGCTTGGAATAATTTGTTAGGAGGTCCTCTATAATTGCATTTTTCCCCTAACCAGGTTAGTTTTGAATATAATACTAGCTACTCACAGAACTATGTTCTCAAACTGTTATTCACAATGAAGGAACCAGCATGCTGTGTTTGTGTCTTTGCATTCATCAGGAACATTCTGTGTGAATGTTGTAAGATTCGTTGGTTGCTTTCATTGTATTCATTTCAACAAATTCTTCCATCTAACCCTTGAATTTTATGTAGGAAACACACCACTTGGAACTCTTTGTTAGGAGGACATCTCAGAGTAATTTTGCCTAACTAGGTTACTTATAGCATGAACCAGTCCCAAACTCTGTTCAAACCAGTGTTCCCAAGGAAGGATCCATTGTGTCCTGTTTAAGTTTCTTTATTTCTTTTTTTTAATTATTATTTTTCATTTATTTTTATTAGTTGGAGGCTAATTACTTTACAATATTTTAGTGGTTTTTGCCATACATTGACATGAATCAGCCATGGATTTACACCTGTTTAAGTTTCTATGATGTTCAGAGTGAATCTTGGAATCAGAGCTTCATCAAAAAGTAGTACCATTTACTTCTGAAAGCTAGTTAGGTGCAGACTGACAGGCAATGAATACTTTGGTTTCTTTAGTTTTATTAGGTCAACAGCTTCCTCAGTCTAACACTTGAGTTGTAGGTCAGAATCAGCCTGCCTGGAACTCCTTGTTAGGAGGTCACTTTAGAGTGACCTTTCACCTACCTGGGTTACCTACCTTTAGAATGACCTTTCACCTACCTAGGTTACTCACTAGTCACAGAAGTCTCTGGTCAAACCAGTATTCTCCCTGAAGGAAGCAGTGTCCTTTGTCTGTATCCTTCATTCATCAGGAGCATTCTGTGAGTGAGCCTTGAATGATGTTCCTCTTTGCCTAAAGTTGTATTTTCTGCCTCAGAAAACCTGTTAGTAATAGACTGAAAGTTTGTTGAAAACCACTTTGATTGCTTTTCTTTTATTCAGTTTCACAACTTCCTTAGGCTAACCCTTAAGTGTTCCAATAGGAAAGGGCTGCTTGGCTTGGAGATAATCACTAGAAGGTCATCTCTGACTGCATATTTCCCCTAACCAGGTTAGTTCTTACTATATATAATACTAGCTACTCACAGAACTTTGTGCTCGAACCTATAATCACAATGAAGGAACCAGTGTGCTCTATTTGTGTCTTTACACTCAGCAGAAACATTTTGTGTGTGAATGTTGTAAAACTCATTGGTTGCTTTTATTGTATTCAGTTCAACAAATTCTTTCATCTAATCTTTGAGTTTTCTGAAAGAAACACGCCACTTGGAACTCCTTGTTAAGAGGACATCTCAGAGTACATTTTCACCTAACCAGATTACTTAAAGATATAGTATGAACTAGTCCCAGAATTCTGCTCAAACCAGTGTCCCCAAGGAAAGATCTATCATGTGCTGTTTAAGTTTCTGCACTGTTTCAGAGTCATGCTGTGAGTGAATCTTGGAATCTGAGCCTCATCACTAAAGTTGTACCATCTACCTCTGAAAGGTAGTTAGTTGCAGACTGACAGGAAAAAACCACTTTGGTTTCTTTAGATTTATTCAGTTCAACAGTTTCCTTAGTCTGGCACTTGAGTTTTTTCTAAGAAACAACCTCCTTTTAACTCCTTGTTAGGAGTTCATCTCAGATTCCATTGCCACCTATCCAGGGTAGCAGGGGTATACTACTAAGTAGTCACAGAAGTCTGCTCAAACCAGTGTTCACAAAGAAGGATCCAGTGTGTCCTGTTCAACTCTCCACAATATTCAGAAATAGGTTGTGTGTGACTCTCAGAATCTGAGCACATCACTAAAACTATACGTTCTGCCATGGAAAGCTAGGTGGGTGAGCAAGTGAGATGCAAGTGAGATGGAAAGAACTTTGGCTTCTTTTTCTTTTCTGTTTCTTTACTCAACTCAGCAACTGCCTTAGTCTAACCCATGAGTTACTTGTAAGACATGTGTAAGAAAATAAAGTCTGTCACTGTTTACATAGTTTCCCCAAATATTTGTCATGGTTAAGTAGTTGAGTTTTCAATGAATCAGGCAGACTTCCCTGATAGCTCAGAGGGTAAAGCATCTGCCTGCAATGTGGGAGACCTGGGTTTGATCCCTGGGTCAGGAAGATCCCCTGAAGAAGGAGATGGCAACCCACTCCAGTATGCTTGCCTGGAAAATTCCATAGATGGAGGACTGTTAGGCTACAGTCCATCGGATCCCAAAGAGTCACATACAACTGAGCATTTCACTTCTTATGAATCAGACTGCTTGTCACTTCTTGCTGTGAGGTCATCTGACAGTATGCTTGACCTAATCAGGGTTAAAAATAGACTTGGTCACCCACATTCACAAAGCACTCTCCACTGATATCTTTACTCAGCAAACAGTACAGAGTTGCACACTAGGGTTGTCTTCACACAGCTCTAAATGTACAGGGGAATGTGTTATCTTGAGGGTGGAAATAAAGGCATCATGGAAAATTCAGTATACTCCTCCTGTGAAAGCTGGATAGTTGCAGCTTCAAACCAGCCACAAAAACACACTGGGTGATATTTCTGTTTGTTATGACAAAAGCTTTTGTCCCTTATTTGAGTTTTCTGAAATGAGCATACTGCTGGCCACTTCTTACTGGGAAGTCATCGCCCAGTTCAGTTTCACTAAATTAGGCTAGCAACAGGTGTGGGCGTCAACACTCACAGAGCGCCCCCTGCTGGACTCTCAGGACACTCCCCACTGAATGCTTTACTCATGGAACGGTGCCTTCTGTCCTTGGGCTCTCTTAGACAGCTTTCTAACTACAGGGTCATTTGTTTCTGTTTGCATGGGGTTTGCAGCCTAATGGCAGAGGCAGCATGTCTTTGTGTGACTGCAGGGTGGTTGCCATCTTAAGTCTAAAAGAAATGCACACGGGTTCATTTTTTTCTTCCTTATGACCGCAGCTTTGCTGAAGTATGAGTGTCTTCTCAAAGCCCAGGCACTGACTTATTAATGCTACAAAGTCATCTGACAGTGTAATTTCACCCACTCAGGGTAACAACATGTAGGGCAGAAGAACTCACAGAACGCTCCTCCCTGAGTGCTTTCTAAGTGAATGAATGGTCCAATATGATCTAGGAGTGTCTTTGCACTTTTCCACACCTGTGGGGAAGGTTTTTCTGAACCTAGAACTGGGTGCCTGAAGAGAATAAAGAATTCTTCATCAAA